TGTGTGTGTGTGTGTGTGTGTGTGTGTGTGTGTGTGTGTGTGTGTGTGTGTGTGTGTGTGTATATATATGTCACCTTAGTCAGTGATGCAGGAAAAAAGCCACATACACAAGTAAATTCCACTCACCCAACAAAACTTTGGCATCTTCTACATCAAAGTCTCCATCGCCATCAGCATCATATACTCCTCCAAGAGCACCTTTCATTGAGCAAGGATAAAAGACTTGTGAAACAAACAAGATGCAGAGTAAAGAGGGTCCAACACAATAACACGGTAAACAAATGCATTTCCAAACATAATTTCTTGCCCCAGACCCTGTTTGTACTTTTGTCATTCTTGTACATCTACAATGAACCATGAGGTTGTTAAGGCCCATTCACACTGAGCATGACTTCACAGTGTACATCTCTGGTTTTGAACAATAAAAACTTGATTACTGATGGGTGTGAACTGTCTGTTCTGTGTCTCCCTCACAAATCAGTCAGCAAACCAAAGACTTGAAACCAAAGAACACAGAATTTATATTAGGGCTGAACGATTAATTGCATTTGCGATAATATTTAAATTTTTCAATCGCAGAGGCTGCGATTACACAGCCACGTGACACGCGAGAGTAAAGAGGTGTGTTGATTTTATTTTACACTAAAAGTGCAAAAAGATGCGCCAAATTGTCTTGACTCCACCCTCAACGACTTCTGCCCAGTGTTGCCAATTTAGCAATTTTGTTGCTAGATTTAGCAACTTTTCAGATTACCCTAGCAACTTTTTCTTCCAAAAGCATCTAGCAACAAATTTAGCAATTTTTTTTATTTATTTAGCAACTTTTGAAAAGTTGCTAAATAAATTAGACAAAAAGAGGAAACCAAAGATGCCTAGCAGAACACACATCACGTGAAGTTAACTGCTATTTGCAATTGTTCAATAATAATTAGGTGTGTTCGACTTGAAGCGGCGCTGCGCAAACCGATCTGTGTATGATATCAAAGTACCGTGAGAGCTAATAGAATAGAGAGCAGACGGATCTGCATGCTTTCTAATCGCTCTCGCTGTGCTTTGATGTCAAACACCGATCGGTCTGCACAGCGCCGCTTCAAGTCGAACACACCTAATTATTATTGAACAATTGCAAATAGCAGTTAACTTAATTCACGTGATGTGATGCACCTTGTTAGTAGCTTGTACCTGTGATTGTTGATTAGTTAGTTGATCTAGAAAAATGGAAAAGGTAGTAATTTTCCAGGAATTTATCCATTATCCATTATCCGTTGTAACCCTGTAAGCCTGTAACCCAAAAACACAAAATACAATGCGTAATTTAAAATGCAGGTAAAAAAAACCTGTGAAAAATCAATATGGAAAATTCCTTCATATAGTAGACTATTTTTACAGACTTTTCTTAGAGTGTAGCATACTAACAAACTACTAATACACTGCTTAAAACGGTGTTGTTCAGAATGTGTAGTTTTACTAGTTTAATAAAAAAAATTAAATAAAAAAATAGCTAATAAAAGAATAAAATGTTAATAAAAAAACTTAAATTGTAATTGTTCAAAAAATGTGTAAGTGTTCAATAATTCAATATTGTATTTAAAAATAGTTATTTATATTTTTATATTATTATATTATGCATTAATATTATTTAACGAACAAATCAAAATTAACATATATAAAATATATTTTTTGCTGAGATTTGATGCAGTGACACGATTTTGCATCGTGATTATGTGATGACGTCATTGCGCAATGACATCACAACGTAATTTAGCAACTTTTAGCAACAGATCGACCTTCCTTTAGCAATCGCAATTAGATTATTTTCCAAAATCGTTCAGCCCTAATTTATAGGTCATGTTAATATGACAGATAGCTAGAATAACTAGATTCATTTATGGTTTATGACCCTGTCTATTCAACCTAGTGTGTGTATGATTACTGGTCCTACCATTTAATTAGAAGTTTTAATCAGCCAAGCTGTGCAACAAGATAATCAATATTTACACACACTCTGATCGACAGAAGTGTCTGATTCTGACAGAAAGTGGAAAACTTTGTAGCTCATACTAGGGCTGTCGAATTTCGAATATTCGTCTAATTTAAAATAAAAATCCACATTCGGATGCAAAAACGTTGCATTCAAATTTTAGGTGTGCAATAAGGAGGTAGCCTTATCAGTGGCGCACGAGATGCGATGACGATGTAAGTGTCGTTGCTTTATAATAAAAATCCACATCCGGATGCAAAAACGTTGCATTCAAATTTTAGGTGTGCAATAAGGAGGTAGCCTTATCAGTGGCGCACGAGATGCGATGACGATGTAAGTGTCGTTGCTTTATAATGTTTTTGTTAGCCTGTCCAGCTGAAGCCACTAGATGCGGCGCTGGTGCGTTGTTCATTCAAAATATTGCAGAAAAAGAGAACATCAATGCG